TGCTGTTATGGCGGCCGGTCTGGCTGAGCCGGGGACACCTCTTTGGGATTCAAGGTGCCTTCTCCTCGGCTCAGACGTTCACCTGCGCTGCCAGCGGTGATTGATGACGAGCCGCGCTTCGCGTGTCCGGTTACCTGCCAACAAATGACTCCGGCCCCGGCGGCAGGCCTTGGCGAGATAGAAATCAATATTTCACCATTAAAATCCATCACGGGAGAGTTAAGGTGCCATCTGTCCTTGCCGCTTCTCCGCGGAGAGTGAACATTAAAGCCGACACTTGTAGTACACGAGTAATCAATATCCAGCGTTTCACAGATCATTTGTGGCCCCCGCGGCGCGCTGAGAGATGCCGGCAGGACGGGTGATTCATTCTGTCAGGCCATTAAACCAGCCCGGCTCTCGTCTCTCCCTCCTCACCGGAGGAATGTTCCTGTGATTGGTGAACGAGCCGCCCGTGTCTCTTATATCCCCGCTCCACCGTAAACACAAATATTAGCTCTCCCTCCTCCCGCCGCCGCCGTTACCTGGGGGGCGCCGGAAGGATTCCAGCCGCCGGAAAATAAACCAGCCGACCTACACCAGGACCTGTCACTCCAATCGGCAAGGTCCCGCCCTTCACCCGGACCGTTGCAAATGTCTTCCTGCGCTACACCGGGACCGGCGCCCGAGGAGCCGAAGCTGACCTGTCACTCCAATCGGCAAGGTCCCGCCCTTCACCCGGACCGTTGCAAATGTCTTCCTGCGCTACACCGGGACCGGCGCCCGAGGAGCCGAAGCTGACCTGTCACTCCAATCGGCAAGGTCCCGCCCTTCACCCGGACCGTTGCAAATGTCTTCCTGCGCTACACCGGGACCGGCGCCCGAGGAGCCGAAGCTGACCTGTCACTCCAATCGGCAAGGTCCCGCCCTTCACCCGGACCGTTGCAAATGTCTTCCTGCGCTACACCGGGACCGGCGCCCGAGGAGCCGAAGCTGACCTGTCACTCCAATCGGCAAGGTCCCGCCCTTCACCCGGACCGTTGCAAATGTCTTCCTGCGCTACACCGGGACCGGCGCCCGAGGAGCCGAAGCTGACCTGTCACTCCAATCGGCAAGGTCCCGCCCTTCACCCGGACCGTTGCAAATGTCTTCCTGCGCTACACCGGGACCGGCGCCCGAGGAGCCGAAGCTGACCTGTCACTCCAATCGGCAAGGTCCCGCCCTTCACCCGGACCGTTGCAAATGTCTTCCTGCGCTACACCGGGACCGGCGCCCGAGGAGCCGAAGCTGACCTGTCACTCCAATCGGCAAGGTCCCGCCACCACCCGGACCGTTACAAATGTCTTCCTGCGCTACGTAGGGCGGCGTCACCGCGGCAACGTGCGGGAAATGCTGCCATCCCGTCACACGTGCAACATGGCGGGAAGAGCTTTCATGTGACCGCGCGCCTTCTGCTTCGCGAGCAAAAACAAGATGGCAGCATGGAGACAAAAATGTCCTCATTGTATCTTCATTCGGGGGAATAACAGCCGGCCCCCAGACACAGGGATCGAATGACCGCGTGTATAGAGAGGTGCCGATAGGACTACATGTCCCCGCCAATCCAACGCATTCGCACAATGCCAAATCGAATGGCGTCCACGTGTATACAGAGGTGCCGATAGGACTACATGTCCCCGCCAATCCAACGCGTTCGCACAATGCCAAATTGAATGGCGTCAGCGTGTATACAGAGGTGCCGATAGGACTACATGTCCCCGCCAATCCAACGCGTTCGCACAATGCCAAATTGAATGGCGTCAGCGTGTATACAGAGGTGCCGATAGGACTACATGTCCCCGCCGATCCAATCCAACGCGATCACAGCACGCCAAATACCATCCAGAGACACGGCAACAACTGTGATTGAACTCTGCCGGCACAAGCATGACGTTCTATGGAGAGCGGCACTCCATCCCAACTGTGAAACATGGTGGTGGTGGATCTCTGATCTCTCAATGATCAGGGGCCACAGCAGGAAAAGTGACGGTTGTGGCGGGGCCACACTATCTCCTGACCTTCAACATCAGTGAGTGACTTTGGGGAGATCTCCAACATGATTTGACAACCAAAGACTCTGCGGGACCCGGAGGAAGGCCGAAGGGACTCTACCACATGAGGGCATGAAGGGGCCTCATTCACAACCATCACAGAACATCACGAGCCGTGATTGGTGCTGACGGTGAGCACAGACAGTATTAGGAAGTGAGGGGTGCAGACATCTGAGCGGGAGACGTCCGCGATCTCCTCCATTGCCGTGCTTTGGTTCTTCTATTCTCAGGAGACAACGGCACCACATACACTATATTGCCAAAAGTATTGGCCCCTCCCCCTCCCAATCATGTGATTCGGGTCCTCCAATCCCCTCCATGGCCCCCGGTGTATAGGACGAGGCACCTCGGCGTGCAGACGCTTCTACAGACATCGGTGAGGGAACGGGTCGCTCTCAGGAGCTCGGTGACTACAAGCGCGGTGCCGTGATAGGTTGTCACCTGAGCAATAAGTCCGTCCGTGACATTTCCCGGCTACTAAATATTCCGCCGCGGTCACCTGTTACTGGGATTATAACAAAGCGGAAGCAACTGGGAACACCAGCAACTCAGCCAGGAAGTGGTCGGCCGCGTCACATGACAGAGCGGGGTCAGCGCATGCTGAAGCGCACGGTGCGCAGAAGTCGCCAACTGTCTGCAGAGCCAATAGCTACAGACCTCCAAACT